ATAAAGATATATTTAAAAAACAAACAAAAAAAACACCTCTTGAGGTCTAAAACGAGCTAATAACAGTGGCTGCCACACCCCCTTGCTTTGAGAATTCAATGAGCTGATGCAGTGCGTGGCAAGCATTTCACACGGTCCGGTCCCTGCATGTAAACGTGCCCTCAGTGAGAGCTGTACTTCCTGGGAGCATCAAAGCCAGGGGCATCGGGGCACACAGTGGGCTATAGGTGAGACCAGCTCAGCTGGTGACAAGGGAGATGAGCTTTTCCCATGGCTGGCAGGGTTGCACAGGATCAGTTTCCAGGGGCTTCACTCCATTGCTGTCCAGTCACTCCAGGGCTGCACGGCAGCCCCAGGTGATCAACCAAGACAGCTGGGCCCACGCAGTATTTAGCCTCCAGATGCTGCCCCTCCTCTGGACTCAGTGCCTGTCCCCTTTCTCCCTGGTAATTCTGAGGCACACTAGGAAGAAATGGAAGACCTGAGAGGGTGGTTAGGGGACTGTGAGATTCCTTCTTTGATTGTCCGCATTGGTACTTTCTCCTCTGAGTATGGAAACACTCCCATCCTCTCCAGGTCTACTCAAGCCCGTCTCCCATGACCATTCCCCGACTTTTCCTGAACTTGGAGGAAGGTGCCCCATTCCCCCTGGTACCCAGCAACCAGCACCTGGTAGGAGAGCAGTGCAGGCCTTTCACTAACCAGTTGCTCCAGGCCCAGGTCCCATCCCTCTCTGGGTGGGTCCAGGCTCCTACCTGAGAACCTAGTTGCTATAGAAACAACCATCAAAAAAGCAGAATGGTGGGGAGAGTGGCAGGTGGGTTGCACCAAGGCCTTTCTTAGAGATGGGTGGTTTTTTGTTTTTTTTGCTTTTTGTGTTTTGCTTCCATTCACCATGGGGCAGTCTCTACCCCACATGTGAGTTTTAATTTTAAATTTCTCCAGTGGGAACAACAGAGTCATTTTTAGCTGGCTGGTTTGGGAGCCTTTGAGCGGCCCCTGGAATCTGTGAGGATCAACAGGAGCCGGCAGGGCTGGGCTGTGTTTGATTTAAAATTGGAAGCCAGGAGGCAGAGGGGTGGCTTTATATAGTCTGGGAGGTCTGGGAGCTTCAGCTCTGATTTATGAGAGGCTTGGTGTAAGCACATGGAAGCCGAGGTAATATTTATAAATCCCTTCCCAAGGGACAGATGGAATGTTCTGAGCTGCAGTCAGATAACACCTTTTTGGGGGACAAAAGGAGTTAGCTGTTTAAGTCCCATTATTCAGTGAGTGAAAGAAATGTGGGTGAGAACTTCCTTGAAGTCTGTTCCAGCAACATAGGGTGAGGGGCACAGACCTGCAGCCCGGCTCCTCCCTTCCATCCTCGGGCCTCCCCTGGTTAAGGAGGGTTTGGTGCCTCCTTTCTGGTGCTCCAGCCTCCAGGCCTCCCCTGCTTTACCTAACTAGGGCAGGGAACTGCACCTGGTAATTATGGTGACCACATTTTACCAACAAGACGTCTAGCTAGGTGTCTGAGGACAACTCTATGGGGCCACCTTGACCAAGTCACCTTGGATTTCCCATGTGTACAGAGGAGAATTCCATGTATTACTCATCTGCATTTGAGGGCTCCCAAAGGGGTATGATTCCTACCTGACACTCAGAGTGACGAGAACAAATGGTGGCAATGACAGGGCAGATGGTCTAAGGCCCCTTCTATCTCTGGGGACAGGGGAGAAACGGTCACCTCCGTCAAGCCTGTCCAGCTTCTGGAGCCTGGAACGCCTAAGAGAGGGTCAGGGCTTGTTGGGAGGCCTTTGCACAACGTCAGCCTAGTCACTGCTCTGGCCCCAGGATTCTCCATGAAAGGCTTTCAGCCTGTTAAAATGCAGTTACAGAAGAATTACTTTGCTGAATCACCAGGAGCCTAGGTGGAAGCCCCAAAAGATGCCTCATCCCCTTCCAGCTGAAGATGAGCAGGCATAGAGGTCTCCAATACTGGCCAGGGCTTAGTTAAACTGACACCAGGAAAGAAGGGGGCAAAATGCCAACTGCCCAGCCAGGTCCAGGCTAGCCACTACAGACTGGCTGACACTGGTCATGAAGGGAGACCCTGACTCCACCCTTTCCTTGCCTGTTTTTCCCCTCCCTGCAGCATTTAGGAAACGTCCTGTGAAAGACACTGAGATCAGAATCATATTTGTCCCTGGGGGTGACGTCAATGTTTCCTTTGACAGGTGGGGCCACAGTGCATGTCTGAACCTCTGAGGTGGTGACTGGCTTGGCTCTCCTGCTCCAAGGGAGCTGCCTCTGGTGACATCTGGATGCTCTGTCCCGTACTCACAGGTTCGTTCCTGTCTTCACACACTGGTGTGCAGCTGATCCCGACTGCTGAGGGCTGCGGGGG